CTGGTACTTGTAGGTACTGGTACTTGTTACTGGTACTTGTAGGTACTTGTTACTGGTACTTCAGTACCTGCAGCTAACTTCAAGTCAGTCAGTTTCTGAGAGGCTGAACCAAGAGTTCATCTCTCCTCTTAATTAAAGTTAACTCTTCATCCTGGAGCAGAAAACCTCTTCCTCCTCCTCCTCCTCTTCCTTCTCCTCCTCCTCCTGCTCCATCTGTGGCAGGAGCTGCTCCAACTCACATTAACTCCTCCGAAACAAAAACCAGCATCTCCTCCTGACCCAGAACCATGAAGCTGCTCTCGTTTGGACCCCCTCTGCTGTGCATGGTTCTGGTCTGGCTCCTCGGCTGTTTCCTGGACCCCTCGCGCGCTCAGGAGGCCGCGGGCCCCGCTGCGCTCCGGCGCGGGTTGACATGGCAACACAACGGGCAGGTTTTCAGTCTCCTGAGCCGCGGCTCTCAATACAGACCCAACCTCAGGGGTCCGGCCGGGGGGCCCAGCTCCGGAGACCCGGTTCTGGTCCTCAGTAGCTCCAACGACACGGCCTCCGCAGCTCGCGGGGCCCCGAGGGTCCCCGCCGCCAGCGGCACCGCGCAGTTACGCACAGTGACGCGTCAGCATCCGCGCGCCATGACGGAGGAGTCCGAGACCCGGAGGGACGGAGACCCGGTTCCGGTGGCCCGGGAGGACATGATGGTCGGAGATGACCCCTATAACCCATACAAACAGCCCCGGTACGACCCCTACTACAACTACTTCGACACGTACTACAGACCCAGAGCCAGGAGCCCGGCCCGGCACGGGTACGGAACCCGGTACCACCAGAACGGTACGAGCGTTTAATTTGAATGACTCATTAGTTCAGTTCAGTTCAGTTCAGTTCAGCTCAGCTCAGCTCAGCTCAGCTCAGCTCAGCTCAGCTCAGTTTAGTTTAGTTCAGTTCAGTTCAGTTCAGTTCAGTTCAGTTCAGTTTAGTTCATCTCAGTTTAGTTCAGTTTAGTTTAGTTCAGTTTAGTTCAGTTCAGTTCAGTTTAGTTCAGTTCAGTTCAGTTCAGTTCAGTTTAGTTTAGTTTAGTTTAGTTTGGTTAGTTTAGTTTAGTTCAGTTCAGTTCAGTTCAGTTTAGTTTAGTTTAGTTTAGTTTAGTTTAGTTCAGTTCAGTTCAGTTTAGTTCAGTTTAGTTTAGTTTAGTTTAGTTTAGTTTAGTTTAGTTTAGTTTAGTTTAGTTTAGTTTAGTTTAGTTTAGTTTAGTTTAGTTCAG